ATGTGTATAAAGGAGTGTGTTGAGCTGTGAGTAGAGACTGTATGAATGTCAGCATTGTATGAAAGAACAGTAAACAAATGCCACTTACAAATTAAGGATGGAAGAAGAAATGGGAATGGAAGTAAAGGTGAAGGTATATATATACCAGGGTAGTTTAGGGCAGACTAGATCTGATCATTTGATAGATCAATGGGGAATGATTTGTAAGCAGACAATATATGCACAAACACAACTTATGTAATCAAAAAAGCGGAAATTGGCACAAGTAATTGAGCAGCAGGAGTCCATCGGAACTGTGTAACCTTATGAGCATGATCTAACCTTAGAAAAGAATGTGAAACCGTGTATTAACGTGAAGTACATACAATATCCAGTCGGTTCATATGATAAAACCGGAGGAGTTGACGATATGGGCGATGAATGATACTCCAGAAAGTGGTACCGAAATCATCTTCGACGATGGTGTCGGTGGAGACAACAGGGATGGGCAGCATAAAAGGAAGTTATGAAACCAATGACAATGAAGACACAAATACGGATGAGGGTGGTGTGGAGTATGTGTACAGTGATGATGTATACGGCGATGACTTGTTGATGGTGATGGAAGAACATGTTGATGATGATGAGTGGAAGCAAACATTGACGAGGCGGATGGAAGAAAACATTGGCGAGACGGGTGGAAGAGAACATTGACGAGATGGGTGGAAGAGAACATTGACGATGAGAAGACAATGGTGATGGAGGGAAGAGGCATGTGACAAGTTTTGAGAGTATCATTGATGATATCGTGAAAATGTTGGTGGCGACAATGAGCAAGAGGCGATGACGAGGAGAAGATATGAGCACAAGGAGATTTGACGAAATTGAATCATTTGAAATCAGAAAAAGGCGTTGTCCCGAGGGCCCCCTCAGGACAAAAGTGCCCGAGGGGGCCCTCGGGACGTTGTTATATAGCTAGGGTTCTGTGGTGAATGGGCCATTGTTGGTAATTGGTAGTGTACTATACCATTGGAAGCATCCACGGCGTGCTGCACAACACAACCAATACCGGCAATTTGGCTGCTCGTCAAGCCGGTCAGGCCCCTAGGGTGCAAACCACCCTTCCATACTAGCATGTGCTGGAAACTATCAATCTTTGCGGGCAATTCATCACCCATTCTTCGCATGCACCATCACCACCTCGAGTTGCCCCCCTTGCTCGGGCCATTATATCTACTTCTGCAACCGCCTCCATGGCTAAGTCTGCAGTGCCGCCAACATGTTTTGTCATTACCCGCATCGCATTTGTTTGATTCGTTTTACTTCTGTGACCCACTTCGGACTTTAGTGCCATGGTGTAAAACTATTAAACAGCTATGTATTGTACTGTACTATCCATGCTCCAGTGTGACTCACAGGTACAGCGTTGGCCCATTCCTTGTGAGAGTACATCTATACGTGCCCCTATGGTCAGTGCACCATGTGTGCGTCCGGGAAGCACACCCCCACGAGCAAGGCTCAGGTAAGTCAAAAGTTGCGGCCGGTGCAGAATGTGTGCATCCGGGAAGCATGCCCTCACAAACGATACTTGTTAGAAAGCCACCTCCAACTCTTTCCATCCATAGTCTGGCATTATGCATCCGGGACGCACATGCGCGGCCCCAAGGCCTTTTCTTGTGCTCTTTCTTGCGCCCCTTCCTGTGTCTTCTCTACACTTGCTCTTTGTGCACTCTCCCTACGGCTTTCCCTGCAGCCTTTCCTGCACCTTTCCTCCGGCCTTTCCTACACCTTCCCTATGGCCCTTCCTACAGCCTTTCTTACGGCCTTTCCTACACCTTTCCTACAGCCTTTCCTATGGCCTTCCCTATGGCCTTTCCTAGGGTTTTCCCTAGCGGAATCCCCTACCTAGTCTTTCCTACCCAGTCCCATTAACCCTAAGTGGTACCGAAATCATCTTCGACAATGGTGTCGGTGGAGACAACAGGGATGGGCAGCATAGAAGGAAGTTATGAAACCAATGACAATGAAGACACAAATACGGATGAGGGTGGCGTGTGTACAGTGACAATGTGTACGGTGATGACTCGTTGATGGTGATGGAAGAGCATGTTGATAATGATGAGTGGAAGCAAACATTGACGAGGCGGATGGAAGAGAACATTGACAATGAGAAGACAATGGTGGTGGAGGGAAGAGGCATGTGACAAGTTTTGAGAGGTTCATTGATGATATCGTGAAAATGTTGGTGGTGATGATGAGCAAGAGGCAATGACGAGGAGAAGATATGAGCACAAGGAGATTTGACGAAATTGAATCATTTGAAATCAGAAAAAGGTGTTGTCCTGAGGGCCCCCTTGGGACATAAGTGCCCGAGGGGGCCCTCGGGATGTTGTTATATAGCTAGGTCCGCCCCAGGCGGAGTGTAGCACAAATATATCTCAAGTTCTGGCAGACCCCAGCCAGGCGGACCTCAGTCTATCTGAGTGTCTGGCTGTGTAGGTTCGGTCCAGGTTCAGGTTCGGTCCGACACCATCGTCAGAGGTTCAGGTTCAGGTTCAGAGCCTAGAGGGCCCGAACCTGGACCGAACCGAACTTCGGAGACCCTATACTACCCATGCTGCCCGCTGTCGGTCACCCTCTAAGCTAGGCAGGTTCATCCCATTTTCCTGATGCAGGCATGTTCGCCATAGGATGTCGCGGCCTTCAACTATGTTCAGAGCCCCGCAACCCCACACTGCTGCATTAGCGTGAAGATCAGTGAGTGAGGCTATCCTAGACGAGTTATCTGTTGCTTCGTGGCACCGATGTACGTGTTGCCACTCTCAGCGCCCTTCTAATATGCCCTCAGCAGAGATAGCAAATAAAGTATCCGAAGATGGTAGATTGTGAAGGAGCTATTCGTACAATGTGCGTTATCGAAACATGTCAGGACGATGCAGAGCACCGTCCAGGATCTGAAGTCCCAGTCAAGCACTATCAAGAGCAATGAGCGTAGTCATTGATGGGTACATACCCGGATCATCGATACATGTAAGCGGCCTTACAATAATAGAAACAAAGATGAATTAAGACGACGCAGCAACGCGTCGGGGCGTAATAAGATTCTATTCTCGTGAATAGGTGTCGGAGGCGACTCAGGGACAGGTGGCGGCCGTCTCCGGCGGAGAGAGCGAGGTAACGAGAAGGAGGGAAGCAGCGAGCCGTTCCTTCGTCGACGGAATGGATGTTTCTGGCTCTCGGATTGTCGTTATGAAAGGTTTGTCTGCATGCGCTGCAGTGCCACTCCGTTCTCTTCCGTCGCAAAGTCGAATCCGCGATGTTGGGAGCGCATGCCCGTAGACATGTCAGTGTGGCTGCCAGCGAAATGCGCGAAAGGCCGCTTAGCCATGGCGGTAGAGCGTTGCGAGGCAGATCGTCGAAGTCCCTGAAGGTCGGTCTCCTTGTATTGAGAGAAGTCGCGGTTGGGGTAGATTTTGTGCAGCCACCGCACTCGATCAACATCGGCGGGGTAGAAAGCGAACTTGTACCACTTGCACAGATACCGCTGCAGAAGAGCCAGAACGACGGTGAGGAGGATGCAGAACCAGAAATATGCTGATGGCCATAGATACGCGTCGTTACCATAGATGGGCGTTGAGAACCAGCCAGGAGTGATGGCTGAATAGACACCCTATAGAGATCTCAGAACAAGGATCATACCGGCGTAACAAATCAGCGCACCGTATATCCCCAGACCAGTACAATGCCGAGCGCAACCGCAAAGAATACCCAGCCTGTCCAAACGGCCGTGTTCAGTCCGTTGCAAAGGTTGGCGGCAGTCACGGCTGCAACGGCCATTGTCTGCGGGGGTGTGGGTTAACCGTACAATGCGCTTGGATTAATGACCTGCTGTAGAAAACTCATATTGATACACGGCGTAACCATCCGTCGTCGTCGTTTCATACGCGTAGAAGATCAAGAAAAAGATCAACGTGAATTGTTGATTGCATGTGAGTGCCGTGACAAGATAGCGCACAAAATAACCTACCTGGACAATACCGTCAAGCATGTAGACCAGGAAGAGCTTCGTATCATAGTACCCGCCGCGACGACTGTATGCGTACAGCTCCGGAAGTGCGACGAGGACATGATCATCTAGAGCGGTGGTCAGCTCATCATCAGAAACCGAAGCGGGACGACCGACTCACCAACAATACGATCGAAAAGACCGATGGCAATGACGGGTGCGATGGTGAAGAACGTGTTCCACCAGAGTAGATAAGTATATTGGAAGACGCTGTTCGCAAGGTCAGTAAAGGCCCCGCATCACAGTGGTCGGTCTACGCACTATTGACTACTCCAGGCACAATAGATCTGGAACCACCACAAGACACCGATACAAATCATGTTCCTGTAGAAGAAGTTCACGATGCTGTATCGACCCTGTTAGAACGCCAGCATACCGCAGGTGTCACTGCCTACTCACATGCTGCCGTTGCGAGCATACAACCAATGTCCGTGGACGAGGATCAACCGCCTGAGGAACCTGAACTGCGCGATGGCGTAATCCGACGAGTTGGCCGCCTGGAGCCCTTCTTCACCGGAGATTCCTACACCCACGTCGGCAGCCTGAATCATACTAACGTCGTTCGCGCCGTCCCCAATCGCCAGGGTCATCGCACCCAGGCCGTCCTTGACGAGCTTCACGATGAGCGCCTTCTGCGACGGAGATACACGGCAACAGATGACGCCCTCGCACTGCATCGCCAGACGCAGCAGCAGGTGTTCGTGTCGATCATCACCGAATGCCTATATGTGCATCAGCGCAATGGTATCAACTGGGCGCTCTGGTACTTACCGTTGCCAGGCCGCCTCCGTCGACGACAAGTACAAATCCGCCGGGACGGTCTCCATTGTTGTGCCCCACGAGATCCGACGCGGCAGTGTTCACGCGCTGCAGCGGGTACGAGCGCTGCGTCTCAGACACGACGTCGAGGCTGACACCTTTTTCCTCGAGGATGCCGCTCTCCGGGAAGAACTCCTCGGCAGCAGTGTACATCTGCGTATAGACATCGCGCTGCCCGTCGACACCGCCACGAATGACGATGATGTTGTCCTCGCGGCCGATCAGGTTCGTGCTGTGCCCAATAGCTAAACGAGTGATGAATGTGCACGGTAAGGACAGTTCCGTCAACGCAGACAAATGAATGGCTCACCAATAGCAGTCTCCACCTTGTCGCCGGTCGCTACCCACACCTTGATCCCAGCAAGCTTGAGGTCCGCAATGGCCTCCGGCACGCCGTCTTGCAGACGGTCCTCGATGGCGGTCGCGCCCAGCAGGCTCAGGCCGCCCTCGATCTCCTCGTACACCGCCTCCAGCTTCGCCTCGCGATCATCGAGCGAGACAGATGCCTCCTGGAACTTGCGCGCCCACACCTTGTAGTCGTCCTCTACGCCAGAATGAACCTCTGGTAGATCCCCGCAACCCAAATCAGCACTCACCATTGATAGTCTTGTACGCCAGCGTGAGCGCCCGCAGCCCCTGCCCTGCAAACTCATCCAGATGCACCTCCGTGCTGCGCTTCAGCTCTTCCTCGCCCGGCACAAGCCGCTCGAAGATCACGTTGTCCGCGCCCTTCGTCAGCAAGAACAGCCGCCGCCCCTCTTCCTCCTCGTCCAGCTTGCGCACGATCACGCTCATCCGCTTGCGCGGCGAGTTGAACTCGAGGATGTTCAGCAGCTCCCACCGCTCGAACGCGCCCGCAAACGGCGTCTGCAGCGTCAGAACCTCCTTGTCACGCCCACGGAACACGAATCCCACGTCCGCCGCCGCTTGCACGAGCGCGGCCTCATCCGGGCTCTGTGCCTTGTAGGCTATGGCGCCTGTGGTGGGATCCATGGACGCGAGAGCAGTATGGCAGAGGGCGAGCACGGTGAAGAAGCCGTTGATCAGCCGCGCATGCTTCGCGCTCTCCGCATCAGCGTCGGCGAATACCGCGGAGACGATGTCAGAGGACAGCATCGTATCGCGGAAATGCGCGAGTGCGCCGTCAGAGAGCCCAACCGAGTCAGCGGCGAGGGGATCTGGGGCGTCCTCCGATGACGAGGATACCGGCGTCTTCTTGCCTTCCATTAGTACTGGCGACTGGGAACGAAGGGACGGAGCCGTGTGTTCTTCGCCATCGTCAGGCAGGCCAACCTTGGTTGTTGACTCCTCGTCTCCGCTAGTACCTCGGTATGCGCTACCCCCGACAGAGCACTGCCGGAAGACCATGGCATTCTATATCACGATCAGCGTATGCATGCGGCAGCGACCGTCCTCCCAGGCCGTACGCTGCCAGTGTGGTCGATACTTGTCATCAGATGCACTCGTATCCTCTTCTTCGTCGTACTCGCGCGTGTCCTCGTCCACCTGCTCATCTGCTCCCGACTGGCCGACACCCACAAGCGGGGCGCCGTGCTCCATGACCTCGACATCCGCGGGAGGTGAGGTTGAGCAGCCAGGTGAATATAACGCCTGCGCCCCAGATCATGATGAGGAAGGAGAGGAAGGAGACGGCGGGGGTGGCGCTTGCAATCACAGGGCACACAGTGAGCAAAACGGACAAGAGGAGGCGGAGAGGAACAACGCAGACACTTACAGGAGTATAAGTACGGGCACGCTGCGGCAGGACAGCGGGTGCCTTTTCGGTACGCGCGAGAGAAAGCAGTATGCGTGAGCTGGCGTAGAAACACGAGTTGGTTGCGGAGAGCACAGTGGTAAGGTGTACTGCGTTGACAACGTGCGCTGCAGCGCCAAAGCCAGCGCGCACGGAGACGACCGTCACAGTTGATGCGGTCACGTCCGAGTCAGCCACACGCAATCAAACGAGCGAGTGAGTGTTGGTAGGGCGAGACATAGGCGCGAGACGGGAGGGTGCGCGAGGCAGACGCACCGTAGGCACAGCTGAGGAGCATCGGACCGTCCTAGTCGATGCAGAGGTCAATCGTGAGGATTGTGAGAATGTGGAAGAGCACGATGCGCACGAAGGTCGCGCGAACGGCGCGCGGGATGGCTCGGTGCGGCTTGGCAGACTCACTCGCAGCGAGCGAGACGAGCTCGACACCATTCTAGGAGTAGAAGGCGTAAGCGAAGGTCTGCACGAGCGCAGAGAAGCCGCCGATAATGGCCTGGCCGTTGTGGAAGTTTTCCAGGCCCTGGGCGGGTGAGGGGTTGTTAGAACGCGTGTTGTCGCACAATCAGAGGCGCAGCACTCACTGGCCCAGAGTGGTGGCGGACACCACCCCAGTCGTAGATGAGTCCGACAATGATGAACAGTATGGCTAGTACTACTTTGATGGTGGCGAACCAGTATTCAGACTGTCCTAGGGATACGCGAGTTATTAAGGATAAAGCGAAGAGAGGTGGCACTGCAGCTGAGGACTCGCCATTGTAGCCAAACATTTCCTCCTAGTCCGCAACGATCGTATTCAAGAGCCCTCGTACATTGCAGATCACATAGTCGCCGACAAAAGCGCACGACACTGATCAAACTAAGAAGCTCTCATACGAAGCGGTACAATCGCAATACGCAGGCAAGGTTAAGTCAAACTTGCCCCCTGAAGACTCCTTATGGTGATGTAAAGTTTGATTTCTGCCTGATGCGCTTTTACTGGTGACTCGTGGCATAACCGACACTTACTAAAGCCAAGGGCGAGCGACACGAATCGAGTGCCGAAGATGGCGAAGCTACCGAAGACGAGCTGTTTCTCCTCTATGCATGCCCCGTGAGGGATCAGCGAATACAAATACTGGAGAGGCTATGCTCACAAGGAGATGACGACCACGCCTTAGCAGAAGATGCCCACAATTAAGTAGGAGATGAGTGCGCTCCCTGGACCTGCAGTCGCGACAGCTGATGAGTGTGAGAAGCTATGAGGTAGGACATATGGAACGAGGGGAAGGGCGCGCGCTGTTATCATCGAACCAGCACTGAGGAAGATGTCCGTGCCGATGGTCCCACCGATCGCTGAGCGAGCGTGAGCGGTGATGATTGACAAGCTGGATGACAAGCTGGATGGTGTGCGCGAGCATACCGATTATTAGGTAGCAAGATTCTCCGTCGGTTTGAATCGAGTGTTGGGTTCGTCGATGGGACTTTGGAGAGGTGGGTGAGTTGCTGTGTGGTCCATGGCGGGTCAGTGTTAACATGAAGGATGAACCACAGCGGGCGGGGCACAACCCTCTCAGCCCCAGCCCCCGACCTGACGTCACGCGTCCTCACTCTCCGACGTGTCCGTCACGTAGAACGCGCCCTATCTTTGGCAATAACACTCTGAATTGAACGAAAACAATAGCCAGAAAAGCAAAAAACAAAGCAACAACGACGACAGTGGAACAGATATTGGTCGGTAAGTACACTATTATCCACGAGGCCTCGTGGGCTGTCCTACACACAAGTCGTCGCTCAGCTTGTAATCAGCAGAGAGAAGATCACTCAGTACAGTACTCAGCAATTAACGGCGCTCGGCCGCACCATCCGGTCAGACGATCGTTTTTCCTCATGAAGTTCCGGAACTAGGAGCGAAGCCTCAACCTAAACAGAAAGGTCAGTCTCTGATTAGATTCGATGATAGTATACAAGATATACCGCAGTAGAAACACTATCATCCTTCCAGTTGTACTGGTGATAGCATGCAAAATATGTCAGACCCGTCACTGACACAAAACAACGATCATGCACTTACGCAAGGATGCTCGCACCGCTTGTAAGGGTGATAACGACGCTGGCCGCGAGACTCAACCCTGCACTGCTGTTGGTATCTGACCGTCGAAGATATGTCTTTAGGCATCCCGCCAGAGACGTTGTAAGGTGAGTGATGTTTTTGGAGACGACACCCTCATTCTGAAGCTTTTATGCAGCTCTGGTTCGAACCCGCACTGAGGCCGAGCATACTGAGCTCAAGTCACCGCGACACCACATGAGACCCCCTTTCGCTACGCGCTCCGCATGTCAGTAGCCCTAGGTCGCGTAGTAACGATTCTGCAAAGACTTGCGCTAGACTGAACTCAGTTGTGTGCCGTGTTTCGATCGCGCTTGTAGAAATGTCTTCGTATGGCCGTAATAAGCGGTGTATGCGCTATCAGAAGAAAGCACTGACGCACCTTTAACGCGCCGTTCTCGAGCATCCAAGACGCGGGATGTGGCTTTACGTGATCCCGTCCATCCACAGCTTTCTGTACGCGTCCCCAGAGCCGACCGTCTTGAGTTGCAGTCGACGTCTTGGTTCTCGATCTCACTATAGGAGATTATGTCACTAAACGAAACGGCCAGGAAACAGCGTGCACGGAGATAACGGGTGTAATGGAAGGCTCACTGTAGCAGGCCTCGTTTGCGTGCTCTAGGTCGGTTCGACCTTCTCTCGCTTGCTTAGCACCTTGGCTCGTGTCCAGCTGGCCATACCATCCGAGTTTACAATAGGGTTTCTTGCGTGACGATTCACCGAAGTGTGGTCTTCGTGGAGGTTCAGGGTCCCGAAAGCGCCTCCGTGCACCTAGACTGACGAGAGGGGATATCACGCTTAAGCGTAGTGCACGGGCGTGCGCCATCAAGCTGCAGCCACTACTCATGATGATCAGGCAGTGTCGAAAGGACAGCGATGCTAGCAGCCTCGTTGCAGAACCGTTGTGTTCCATCGAGCGCTGTCCTGATGGCTGGCAGGCATGCCTGGTGTCAGAAGACTCTATGCAGGAACGTGACGTACAGATATACAATAAGATCACTGACGCCCTAGAGGGTGCATGAATATCATTGTGTCAATGCACAGCTCGGCATGGTGCGGCTGGGAATCACGATGACAAGTTAATTGCTGTACGAGATAGAAGTGCATGAGGGCAAGTTGATGGTCTGAGGATTCACAGTCACACCTTGTGGCGATTACACGCATTGGGCAACTGCGCGTATGGCGAATTCTCCGAGGATCACAGGATAGTTTTGCAATTCGGTACCGAGCCCAGTACGTACAGATTGGCGAGGATAATAGCAGCGCATTCCGGAAGAAAAGGGGAGGCAAATGATATGAAAATGAGTAGCACGCACCAGGTCAGCCGCCCGGACCACTGAACCGCATGGATTTATCCGTGACATACAGTATCGACTATTTGTCTGTTGGAAAAGTAGAGGATCGCGCAAGCTTGTGCGAGTGAGAAGACGGAGACGTGATTGCGGGGCTCAGGGTGCTGTCAATAAGCACCGCGCCCGTGTATGGCGATACAACCGAAGGGCAACATGCGAGTCGCAGGTATTTCCCGTACAGCTGCACATTCGAAGATACAACCTGGACAGGTACTCCTGCGTCAGAACGATGGAGGTGGTCAAGTCGATACACCTGACATTTTGGGAGGTGAGCCGAGTCACAGATCGTCACGTTGTGCGCGAGTTGGAATACCAATGTCTGGCGTGCATCGTCGATCCTTGAGACAGTGTTCGGGGAGCCTACGAATTAGTGAGGTCGCTAACACGTGGACAGACCGTACACATGGGTTGACTATGCCGGCATCTTAGGTGCAAATTATCAGCGCATACGACTTCGTGCCCGAACATCTGTCAGAGGATAAAATATCGCATATCGTATTCCATGCACGCACGTCGCCACTACACGGCGTATACGTACATGCCCAGCCCATCTCTACTTGCCAGCGCTGCGTCATTAGGGCCCTTGCAACCTGGTCAGGAGATCCTACGAAACTCGCTGAAGCGAGTGCTAAGATGGAGCGTGACCTTCTATGGAGTCCTTGTAGTCAAGAACGGGAACGGGAACGTGACGTCCGCAACCATCTCGCCCATGATTTGGCCTCGATCAAGGCGCGAATCCTATCGACGTCGAGTTTGCTCTCGGAGTCTGTTTCTGATAAATCTTCAAGCCTCCTTCGCTGCCTGTCTCATCATAGCCAAGGTCCCAACACCCTTGCCTGTGACTGAACCCCACGTATAATCTTACTCCTCGCAGGGCTGTATGGAGTAGAGAAGGCCAAGCTATAGTACAAATTGCGGTTTGGTACTGCTTCTGTTCCGACGTACTTACGCGAATGTGGGATATATACTACTGTCAACCAATGAATGCCCGATGACTCTACGTGTGTCATGATGAGTGCAATGCGCCGTGAGCGAATACGAGAACGAGAGAAAGAGACTAAAGCAATCTATACATCCATTCGTCCACCTTTCACACACCACAGTCCTTATGTGTCGCTGTCACTGGCCGCACTGTCGCTCTCGTCCTGCCCCCATACGGCAAACGCCCTCTGGGCGCGTGGCGGCTCGCGGCGAGCGTCGCTCGACCTGCTCCTCGACCTGTTCCGCTCGAACCCTCTTGGCGTCTTCAGACTATCAGACTCCGTTTCCCTCATGCGCGGCGTCCGGCTGCGCGACTGCCCCGACCGCCTCGGTTGCCCGTTCCCGTTTACTTCATCGCGAGGCCCACGCTCGCGGCGTGCGGTCACCGTCGGCTCGCGGCTCATTGACACAAGCGAGGACGACGAGGACTCGTTCGAGGGTGCGAATGCGACGTGCCGCGGCGAGACACGAGGCGGATGCGGATGCGGGCCCGCGAAACGATCTGGTGTCTCCAGCCCTGAGTGCAAGCCCGACCTGGCATGCGAGAGCTCGATGACAGGATTGCCGGTCGTCAGCACGCGAGCGGCGTACTCCGCTTCTGCTTGACTCGACGCGTCCGGCTTTTGAACCTCCTGCGCCTTCTCCCTACCGATCCACTCTTCTGATGGTCGCATCTTGTTTTGGATGACCACCTCCGCGCCGGGCGGCGACTCTGAGGAGGAAAGGTCATCGATGTCGTACTTCTCCTCATCCTCCTCGCCGTCCTCGGAGCACTCATCCTCCTCGTCCTGGTTCTGGTCGTCGCCTTCGTCTTGCGGGACAGGCGTAGGCGAGGTAGGGGAGCCCGGTCGTGCGTCGCCATTCGCATGCCGCTTGTGATGCTTGCGCGCCGGACTCTCCTCGACGACGACGAATGACTTTTGACGCTCGCGCTCGTTCCATTTGAGTGTACGTGAGATCGAGTTGAACCAATCGGTGGACTGTGTATCCGCACAGACTGTTGGGAAAGGATACTTGGACGCAGTCACCTTGATGTGGTCGCCCTCTATCACACATAACGTGAGGAACGACATAGACGTCACATGTATGGACACTCACGCTTAAGCTCGACACGCCCGCGACCGTCGAACGACGCCCAGGCTGTACTGCGCGAGTTGAACGGCACGCACACGCGCAACTCCATGCTATCGGGAAGTAGCATTGGCCGGAAGGACAGGGTGTGCGGGCAGATGGGCGTAATCAGGATGGACGGGATCTCGGGGTGCACCAGCGACCCTCCGGCGGACAGCTGAGGGCCATGAGCATACGATGAGGGAAACGACAGAATGCACGTACCGAGTACGCAGTAGAGCCCGTGGGCGTTGAGACGCACAGCCCATCCGCCTGGACGGTGGTGAGATGATGTTCGTCGCCTGCAGGCGCGTCAGCGACGTTATACTCAGGTGATGCAGATGCGCTCACCGAAGAGCTCGAGCTGGCTGACATACGGGCTCGGGCCACGGTCGACAACGAGGTCGTTAAGCACCTCGAAGCTCTCGACCGGCCGCGTCGTGAAACACATGATCTCCTTGTCCCTCCCAGTCCGCCCCTCCTTGTCCAACACAGGAGCACACCCGCCCTCGAGCGCCTCCCACCCGCCGCGCTCAATGTTGCGCATCAGGATCTCACCCGTGTCGCCCTTCTTGACCGCGCGCCGCTTCTTCGGCTCGTCGCCGGGGGCGATGGCGCGGTATACTGTGCACGTGAAGCGCATACGCAGGTTCACGCGGATGCCCGCGTCGATCGCGCCGTCCATGACGGCCTGGTGGTCCGCAAAGTCAAAGTTGGTGAGGAAGCCGAGGGAGCCGAGGGCAAATGGCAGCACTGGGGGCACGATGCGCTGGAAGAGCCACGACGTGAATAGCACGGTTCCGTCGCCGCCAAGCTGAGCGAAGGTGTGATGAGAGAGCAGAGTCAGGAAGAGTGAAGGCGGCACTCACGGTGATTACAAAGTCGAACAGGTGTGGGCTCCGGCTACACATATCCGCGGTCCAGTACCGGAGCTGGCCCTCGCCCATGACGCCATAGGCGTTCTCGTCCTTGGTCCCGTTGGGTGCTGCTGAGGAACTGCTAGATGATCGGCGGCGGGGGAAGGGTATGAATAACTCCGGGTGCTCGCGCTCGATAGCTGCAGCGTCAAAGCGTCTTGAGTTTTTCAGCTGCGCGTCGACGTAGCTAATGGGGGCGGCGATCAGCGGGCACGCAGATGCACAGGAAGGAGGGCGCATACACGACCATGCCGCGGCGGTTGGAGGAAGAGGGCCTGAGCATGAGATAAAGTGCGAGCTCTCGGGTGAGCTTGATGAGGCGATTGTCGCGGGCCTTTGTGACGATGAGGACGTTCTGGATGTGCGAGTGGACGCGAGTACGACCTGGGGTGACTATGAGCGACTGATCACGGAACGCGCGCACAGGACGCACCAAGCTGCTTGCTCATCTCTCGGACGCCGACGGCCGTTTCCGCGAGCTGGCGGGTCAGATTGCGCGCGTAGTCGTCCTCGTCGTGTTCGCCGTACTCTGAAGCGTGGGGGGAGTACGGCTCGGAAACGGTGCCGTCGGAGTGGAGGTCCATGCGGGCGTCATGAATGGCCTTACACTTCTTGGCCTGGAGGTAGTCTTGGAAGGTAACGCCCTGGAGCTGGGAGTGAACAAAGTAGGGCGATGTCGCAGTCGCTGTGTGGGGAGAAAGATGAGCGTGATGGGAGGGCCCAGGCTTTGTTAGAGCCGAGGACGGCGTGGACTGTGCGGCAGGGTGTGTCAGCGTCGAGGTGATTCCCATGGGCGGTTGTGCGAGCGGCGAGAGCGCGTGGCCGTTGGGCTGCGCCAGCCTTCTGAGCTCCGGCGAATGCTGCAAATCGAGAACAACGTTGGGGGCCCACTCCGGAGCCGAGCTCTCCAGTCGGAGATTCGATGGTCTGCTCGTCCGCCTCGACAGCGATGGCCGGAGCTCGTGGTGGGGCCCATTGGGCGTCGTCGGGGGAGTCGAGAACACATCGGTGTCCGGCGAGAGGAGAGACTGCATTTTGCGAGCGCGGAGAAGGGTATGTGATGTTGACAAGACACGGCGAACGGCGCCGTTTATGAGGGCTGCTGCAGGCGATTGCAGTCGCCCAGGAGACAGACGAACGTTCCCCGGACTGAATGCGGATGATGCAAGGCACCGGGCGTTGTACAGCTCGGTGTCAACACTGTCGTCAGCGTGATGGTCGGTGTCCTCGACGTTATCGTCGTCGTCGTTGACCGTCTCCCTGGCCGCCGCTCATGGAGCACGCGCACGTGATCTGGAGCCAGCCTACATACGCCCGCTTGGAGTCCTTCCAGCTGCCCGTCGAAAGCTTTCGCACTGAGTTCACGGTGATATACCTGCGGAATGTGACCTGCTGTGTTGCCGGAAGCCAGATCACACATCCCCATCTGTTCGTGCTTGTCAGCTTGCGTTGCGCGGTGATGCTTTTCATTGGCTGGTCGGGGATCTCATATAACTGGTACGCTTCTTGTCCCCTAAATCGATATTCATGCGCGTTTTAGGCAGGATAGAGTATCACTTCCTTCTCTCGCGTTCGAGGGGTCTCTGGATCCATCCACTTGTTCTCGCAGAGACGGCCCAGCATATACTATCAGTACAACCAGTTGCTGTGTGCCAATCGTTTGAACCTTTCTGCCTCACGAGTCGTTCTTGCCTGGGTAAATTCGCGCCGCAACGACGCATGTCCCTACTATTTCGGGGTGAATAAGGTGAGATTCGGTGCCCGCTTCCTAGTTCACTATAGCCGTGTCTCAAAACGAGTATGCTTGCACGTTGCGATGATGCCATCATTGTTGTCCATTTCAAAGGATGTGCTTCCTCGGGAATTGTGGATCGGCTGGACACCTTCGCAGGTGCAAGTCCATCTCAGTTGAATTTCATCCTTGAAGACTCCCACAGCACTACACACTATAGTGCTCGTGGAACCTCATCGCACGCACTGTGGGGCCGCACGGATCAGCCACATTTATTTCTGGATCTCCGCGCCCGCTCTTGGGATCTTGACAAGTCGACAGCACCGTCCTCCGATCGAGGGAATCCGTCGTTCTCGCCGCACACACAATCCAGCCCGCTCTAGGCTTCAATGTTATCTGCCCCGACGGAACGCAGATCTCTATGGGTTGCTCCCTGCGCATCGTGACCTGCAGAAGCCACTCTAGCGCGCGCCTATGAACACATCTCATCTTCGTCTTCGCGCCCCCTACTCATCTCTCCTCCGCCCGCCATGAGCTCCCGCGCCGCTCAACACCCGTACGGCCACCCCATCGCCGCCCTGCCACAGGCCCTGCGTCTCGCGCGTTGCCAGTCGCAGCACATCCTCCAGCAGCTCGTCGACGAGGTGCCAAGCGAAGACGATGTCGTAAACCAGCCAATCACGCGAGACGAAGAGCGCATCCTCACGCTGAACGCCAGCGTCGTTGCATCGCTTGAAGATCTCTTCAGCTGGCGGTGCGTTCTGCGTCTTGCAGCAGTCTATCTCCGCTCGATCGTGTTGATCGTCGCACGGACTTTGTAGCAAGAAGGACAGGACGTCGCGGACGAGCACACTGACGCCTACCGAATCATTCCGCTTCCGGCGCGCCATGTATCGTGCCTGGCTCGTCTCTCATCTCTACGGCCTCGGCAGCATGCCTCCAGAATCCGACTACAAGCTGGAGGAGAACGCAATGAATGACAACCTGGAGAAACAGAGGAAGTTTCTGCAGGGGTACAATGCTTTTGACTTGTTGCAGCTCAGGGCAGCATCATGTTTCCTTACGGAACTTGGCAGTTGGGTAGCCTTTGCAGAAGGGAGCATCATAGGCTCCCTTGAAGTCTGTGAGTCGTGTTAGGATGCGTCGCAATGTTTAGCACTGACTTATCACAGATGACTTTGACGGACTATACCTCTTTGCTGGACCTCGGGCTATCTTGCAATGTTACGAAGAGATAACCACGAAGCCCATATTCAGAGGAGGTTATCTCACCGACGACGGGCTGTTCTCCAAATTCCTCATGGGCCCACTCGAGCAGATCCTACAACTTCGGCAAATCGGCCATGCAGGCAAGGAATATCGCCTATGTTTTGTCGACTGCTCTCCAGGCGAGAACGACCGGTGTATGATTGAAAACTTATCGGCCAAAGGCTATTGACCTCTTCTTTTGTAGGTGCTCATTGCCAAAAGGCATATTACTTTCTCCCAAGCATCAAGCCTGGTTTATATCTTTACAACGAAACTAGTGAGCTACGATCATATCATCCTGCATCATGGCTCTGGTTCACCTCTTGACAAGATTGGGACTATTTGAAAGGGCAAGAGTTGATAGTCGCCAACTACCGGCATTTGAAGGGAAAACTTGGACTCAACGAACAAGACAGGGGAATGGGTAAAGCGGCTCGCGCCATGGACTGTTCCTCGTTGCTCCGCGAGCTATTCAATGTCGCACGCGACCCTTACCGCAATTGGTCGCGAAAGGAATGGTTCTGCCACGACTGCATCAGAAATCTGTACGAAGACACTCTGCCATTTTGGTGGCTCGAACGAAAAGAACGCGGTGAGTTTTTTGCGCCTCCGCCCGTGTAGAGACCAAGCATTCATCCATCGAACGTCAGAGGGGAAACCTATTCCGGCCGATTGCAGGTGTGAATCTTAGAATTAAAAGATCATTCATCGAGACTCAAAGCGCTGGCTAGATATGGATATGACTGTCATCTTCAAGTCGGACGCGCAGGTTCCACGCATGCGCGCGAATTCAATGTGAGTATATTGACATATTGGATGGTGCTGTATTTACTGGACGCATCTGCTGATGGCACTCGTTGATAGCACCTTTGTGAACCTCTCGAGCAGCACCCCGACTCGCGCCCTGAGTGGGAGTATTGGAATCGCGAGAGAGAGCTCTGGCAATGATTGGTAGTGATGGGGCTAGCTTGTGATTCCAACTTATGTCACATTGCCTATCCGACGAACGCTATACGCGCTGTGTACTTTACAGCTTCCTCCTTATTCACAGCAACCTCATTTCCCTCAATTCCAGTCACTATATCCAAACTATGCCTCAAGCTGCGTCTGCAGCACCGTTCCTTAGCCGACACAAGCTTTCAGTGAACTCGGTGCGATTTACAGCACACTATCACTGTGAACGCCTGCGGTCGTGTCGGAAGAGATGCCGGAATTCTCACGAGACGTCTAGCGTGGCGACCGGCGAGACGGTAGGCCACCCGTTTCAGCTTTCTGTATCGGCCGCCGAACCGTCGCGACCATCTTCTCTCGATCACACATCGGAGGTGCAACCTTCGCGGCTTCATCTCATTGATTGCCTTCGCCGTATGGTCGACTTCCTCTTCGCCGTCATCCCATAGCTGAACAACATATCTCATAGTATACTGCGCATTCAGGACTCAAACTACACATGCAATTAGTATCATATGTACGATGCATGCAGGTATCAAGGATTGTCATTCTACGTGTTCATCACAACTTCCGCATTCAGATGCCTACTTTCAGACAAGAAAGACACGTCGTGGGGTGAGGCTCGCACTGGGGTTTAGACACGGCCGTCATTACCCATATGGTCCCCGCACGTTGGACGGATCACCATTGGAGCCTGCTCCCTGTTATATACCACGGTGAACAGCATTCATCACCTTCATCACATTCTGCGTCCCCCCAGTTTCCACGCGCCCGCAAAGACCGGGTCTCGCTCGTATTTATAGCTTTCGTTGCTGATAATATAAGTTTTACCTACACTTTTCCACCCACCTTCCCGTGCCGCTACGCTCTACTAGCAGCAATTATGACCACACAACTACAACTGCATGACGGCGATATAGACCTCGAGAGCACTATGGGCCAGGTGTTCATCGGTGTGCTCTTCTCCTCGCTGTGAGTCATGTACTCTTTCTCTTATTCTTCCACTTCTCTGCGTTACCCATCGCCATACGGCGACAGAATCTGATAACCTCAGCAGGGCGTACGGTCTTACATGCGCGCAGAGTCTCTTCTACGCCTGGAACTACCCGGCCGATTCATCCTGGCAGAAAACCATGGTGCGTACTTTCTGTCGTCTCGATTCTGCGCTTTGCTCGTGCTGACGTTATGCTCTAAGGTTGCGCTCTTATGGTACGTCATTGCCTCTTGTTTTCTCATTGACTATGCGTCGTCCTGTACACGTCTGACCTAGGACATCTGCATAGGGCCCTCGACACACTACGCATTGGTCTCACAGCTAACGTACGTGCATTCTGAATTTTACATTAGCATATCGTCCCCCTTCGCTCTTTGTTTTCTGTGATACTGCCTCGTGCCGTCCTTCAAAGCCAGAACACACGACTCGCGAGGGCCGAGCCCAGGGGCAGCGCCTTCCCGTCGATTGTACAGGATATGAAAGAAGCCGAGAGCGAGGTTTTTTATCAAGTACCACAGTTTACGCACCTTCGCACACAGAACTTCTCGTGGTACGTTGTACTCAATCATGCCGACACAAGCGCGCTTGTACGAATAAAGGGGTATGTCTGTATTGTTAGGCATGATGGAGCACTGATGATATGTTCCTGGTGACATTTACAGGACATTTAGAGTACGCCGCTTCCCCATTATTTCTCCACCACGATTTACACAGCAGTTCGTCTCATCCGCGCACGACGTTCACCGTGTAACACACACCAGGCTGAACACATCGTCGCGGTATGTAGCGACGTACTTGGTACTGTGGGAACTATAGTGAAACTGCGCAGATCATCGTCGTGTTTGCCGTGCAATGGTATGCCCACCCTTCTACCTGCTCCGGTCGGCTCGCGCAGCACGACGTTATTAGACACCCATCAGTGTTTGTATGCTCATGTCTGCTTCAGTTTCTTCATCCACAAGATCGCCCGGCGTGCGTTCTCTTTTTTCATGAGAGTCGCTCGGCAAGGCACTTATTCCCTGTGTCTCTTCTATGCCTCGAGCAGTTGTGAGGGATCGGCGGCGTCAGGTGGCGCTCTCCGCATGTATGGTGCGTGCCGTCCATATCCGTCTCCTTCAAGTCGTCTTTCAGTGAACATACTCCATGTCGGCGTTTGATGTCGCTTACATCGCAGTTGTTATTCGCGCTCGCGAGCGTCGGTAAGCCTGCCCTTCATTATATCCGCCTATGCATGTGTTTGCTTCTCGCAGCGTTAATTTACTATTCCCGTGAGTGCAGGTTCTGGAATTGGTGTGTCGGATTATCTCTTCGATAGGTAACAGCAGCGATTGATACGCATCTTGACTCTTTAGCACTAATTTGCGAAACGGGGTGCGTGGCTGTGATTGTACACGTCTGGCGCAACAAGGGGAGGCGCTGATCGTGCGCTTCGGGTGCGATAGGGATGACATGGGGCTCAGCACGGTCATGAGCAGCGTACTTGTGGGGTATTTATCTCACATCCTACCGACTCTACTGAGTCGCCCTGTGTCAGGTGCCTGGGTCGCTTCAGGTTGTCTTTGCACTCGTGACCGACGCTGCCATCACTACAGCGCTCACCTGCGTACTGCATGGCGAGAAGACACAATTTCGCGGGTAAGCCATATCTTGATATCCAATATCCATTATCTACGAGATACTGACGCCGCGCACATAGGATGGGCAACACCCTTGCGAAACTGATGATGTACGTGATCCATCGCGGAATTCTTATCATGTGCGTCCCGCTGCGCTCGCTTAGATGGCGGAGGCTCAACAGTACCGACTGTGACAGTGCCGTGCAGGCACTGCAGTTTGCGACAGTTCGTGCGTCTTGTCCGCAGTGTCATGCAGTCGCTGACTCTGCGGGTAGTACTTCCGAGTGCACGACAACCCGTTGATGGTGTCCGATATCTTCCACTGGCACGACCCTGCATGTACCGGTGCGACGGCTGTACTCCTTGCATGCATAGTCTGCCTGACTATTCTCATCCGTCAATGCAATCCACAGTATACGTGAACTCGCTCCTCGCAGTGTACGTGCGATATAATTCAATTACTGCAAAGGCTGATCGTGTCTATCCCGCGCCCCGAATACATGCGGTTCAGACTGAACGTGCGGCATCACCTTAGAGCACAAGCTGCGCCCGTCTTGCGATTTACAGCCTCACGTACCGAGCGGGCCTCAGCACCAGAAGACGTGATTGCTCTCGGAGAGATGCCGGTAGGCTCTGGCAGGCAGCATACGTGAGCACATCCTGCGTGAGTAAGACTTTAAGGTCTCCGCCAACTGCTCTCACCTGTGTCTATCTCCGATGTCCTGCGATACCGATGCGGTCCGCGCGCCGAGCAGGTATCCCAAACGGAGGGGACTTCTGCGGACGTCTGGCGAGCCAGAGAGTCTGCAGATCGTGGAGACGGTCGTGCGACACGGCGAAGGCTCATATAATACGAGATTTCAGCCGTGGAATAAACTTGATATTTTTGCGAAGTATAGGCTATCGTACTGGGCTAGTACTACACGAGGAAAATATTTCCCTACAGGTATGACGAACACCAACAAGTATCATAAATATCCTTCATGAAATCCTCCTCCTGTGTATCCGCCAGAAGATCGAATACAGGGTCCTCTCCGCCCGCATATGGACCGGCAGGCTTCACCATTTACACATAGCCCTCTCGAAACCCTCTTTTCGTCAACGTTGCCGCTATCCAACGCCTTGCATTCTCCATCATGCTCGATACTTCCGCCTTATTGTCCTTGAGCTGGTCATCATCTACGCAAACCACAATGCGTTCCAGATTGAATTCACAACGCTCACTGCGCTCTCGTTCCTCTCAACATTCGGCGTGAAACAGAGCGGCGAACAACGCGAGGAACGACACGACATAGGCGCGTCGGCGAGCGAGCTTATGCAGACACCTGTAATATTGGTCGCTCTATGCATTCCACACCCACACGGAGTCTAAATCACCCTTGGATGGTGCTTTGAGAGCACTCGAAAGTGTGAGCGTGTCGCAAGGATGGTGGCGTCGAGACGATCCATGTGTGTCCAAAATCGGTATTTGACCTCGTCGTGGATGGCTATCGCACGAGTGGACGTAGACCGTGGACTGTGAGGCAGTCAACTTACCAAGCCTCTGCACGCAGTCAACAAAGCCAAAGGTCTCCTCGTTCATGTCGCAGGAGTGGCGTTGATATGCGGTGAACCAGTTGCCGAGCGGTGAGGCATTGTGGCCTTCGAAGACGTTCAGCGATATGGTAAGGGAAATTACGTGCCTTTGGAGGATTGCTGATAGAGCAGGAGCATTTTCCGCTTATCCTTATGCTGGCGGCAACATAGCCATTGTACACGCATCTTGCACTGAGTCACGGCAAAGGACAATTGACTAAAACCTGGAGGATGCCAAGGGGTTAGGTCGTCAGGCCAGCGTTTACAAGAGCTGGTAACAGCGGGGGTCGCTCACGTCAGAGTTCACGGTTCTTGTCGTTCAACTTAGGGGATGAAGAGGCTGTTACCAAGGTCCACAAATGCGGTACAGGCCGAAAGGAAACATCGCGGCTGGCCGTGTTGTTAAACGTTATGACGGCGGCGATGTTGGGATCCGTCGTTCACGACGGAAACGGCAGGAATATGTGTGCGGAGAACAGGTGAGCTCCGCGAAAGGGATTGAAGTGCAGATGGGGATCTAGTGTCATTGCGGCTTCAAGAGTACTTTTGTGAGGCGTCATCAATTCAAAACAGCGCATACCCGCTGTGAGATGTATCAACTGACTGTTTGTGGCGAGTTGATAGATTCCATCGTTCTATGCATGACGCGAGAAACGATATCAATAGTGGGATGTCATAGTGCACGGCTCTGTCGTCAAGCTCGTAAGTTCCGGATTGATACAATCAACTATGAGGGATGCTACACTTGCTATTGTATGACACTAGTCTTGCCACATCTCAGAAGTACGTCGTATCTCTCAGCACGAAGCGCTCCAGCTTTCTATAGTCCGGCCGGTCCTTCGCCACCGCCCACAGCCATGCATCCAGCTCCGGCAGCGTCATGTCGCACAACCACGCGCCATCCGTGCCCATCCCCTTACCAAGCTCATGTGCGGCCTGCACGATCGCCTCACACGCGTCCACTGCCGCCGCTCTTAGCACATATGCCTGCTCCTCGCCCAGCACAGGGCCTTCCTTCGGCACCGCCCGCCTCTCCTCTTTTTCCTCGCTGTCTCGTGTGGCGGCCGCAGCGAGCAGCGCCTCCACACGGGCCGCGCTGCCAGCGTCGCCGAATACACCCGCGAGCCCGAAACGCGCCGCGGAGAGGTCGATGACGTCGAGGTGCACGAGAAGCGATGGGAGGACATTGTCGACAAAGACAGGGAGCGCGGCGGTGCGGGGGACTGGCACGCGTGCATCGGTGGTGGAGAAACGCAGTGCGACAGCGTGTAGTGTGAGGAGCGCCTTTTTAAAGCAGTACACGGCTACAGATGCAGAGGAGACACTTCAGAGCACGAGCAGACGAGTAGTTAGAGCAGACGTACGTTCACCGCCAACTACGGCCATGTCCCGGAACGCGGGAAGGAAGCGGACAAGCTGCGCATGAAGCGTAAGGTACGAGATCGCAAGGTGCGAAAGTTAGTGTGCTCACCCGCTCGAGCGCGACGTCGCACATGATATCTGCCCCACCTTCCGCAGTACCTCCATGAGCCTGCGCCCTCTCACCCTCCCGCAACGCCTCCAGCAAAAAGCTTCCAAGATCTGGGTATCCGCCTTGCACGAGCGCAGCACCAGTATCATTCAACGTGCGCGTGACAAGCTGCACGAGCTCCCAGAGTGGGCCGCCGAGTTCGCCGACAGCGAGGCCCGGGATGCTTTCGTGGGCACGCTCGACATGTATCTTATCCGCGAGTCCCATGAGGTCCGCAATGATGTGAGCGCCGACGGAGCGCATGCCCTGTGCGGAAAGATAGTCGCCCTCGCCTGCGCCGGTGGCGGAGATGTAGAGGGCGAAGACGAGGGCGCGTATGGAATCAAACGCGCCGCGACCAGTAGCGGCGTGGAGTGGTACACGGTATCCCGACCCGAAGTTGAGGATAGAAAGAGTAGCGAGAAGGTTGAGCTCGGCGAGAGTGGAGGGAAAGACGAGGGGGAGCTTATAGCCGTGCGCGGTTCGGAGACGGGTGAAGGCAGTCGTAAAGGCAGGGGAGGTAAGCAAGCGTTTTACGCCGTCTTCATTGATCTATAAGGGCGTCTTTAGGGATGTCTGAGGGTGAGTGAAGTGGAAGACATTGATGATAGAGAGACGGCGGCGCGATGTATAAGGCATTGAAATTCAGTCTACAGCTACACGGCATAGACGGCATGCTCTGGTTTCAGAGACGGTGGACTTACCACGACGTTTGCACCCACTCTGACTTTGTTGCATGAAATACTGACTGCGCGAATGAAGCCTGCATGTGGTGGAAATTCTGGCTGAGATGACATGGTTGCAGTGAGAGTCGACAAATGCCAAAAACAGACGGCAACTGGCTGACGTCACAAGCGCCTGTCATTCACTCTTACTGCCAACATGCGCATGTTATCACTACTAGTATAAGTCTCACCGCGCACACTTTGTAACCTTTCTTTTCCGTCCTAAGACTGCGTTTCCGCCATGAACGTATACCACAACTTGACGCCACGGACAATGCCGTCCGCACCCTCCACCCCGTCCCCGCGGCTGTTTTCGACCTTGCATACATCTTAGGTTGTACGGCACGCTACCTCTTGTCGAGTTTCAGGGCGAGCGGTGGCGCGCCGCAAGTCGGGTCGTGCGCGAGAGATACCGAGTGATGCTCATCAAACTTGTCCTGCAGCGCGCAAACGACAAGCTAGGTGCGTTGCACAATGCCGTGTAGAGGGAGGCTGCAAACTATGTCTCGAGCTAGGCCACGGAGGAACTCTCACACTATGCAACAGCACCGACTTTGAGCAAGGAACGGTCGCTCGTTGAAAGTAAACCTGGATGATCTCATCAGAAAGAAATCACGTCAAGGATGGCAGGATGGCGCGCCCTATATCCGATCGTTCCTGACAACGACGCCCGACCCACATCAGTCTTTGGGCGGGACGCAGGGGAAGGAGCGCTGAAATCACTGTGGCAGCATAAGGAGCGGTAACGATATGCATTCAGCGGAGTTTCTGCCGTGATAAGTGCCGATGAAGGCCCTTGGCGTCCAACACCAAGACCTCTGTCCAGAGCCCATCGGAAAATACCACCAGTGAGAACAATTAGTTTCCACGGTGCGCCTTCAGACCAAACACGTACCGTTACACTCAACGACCTGCCCTACGTCTGCAAGCGCCACATGGACATTTGCTTTTCCCATCCAGAGAAATGCACGCAACAACACACAAAGCTCCTGTGCACCCTCTAGGACGACCTCGAGGAACGCGGCACTCGTGGCTCCCAGGAAGTGGTGATCGTTCACCGCAACTCAGGTAAAACTCACCGAAGCTCCTGCGAGATAAGCAATGATTAGGACCACATCAAATAGCTTCCCATATCGTTGCGGAAGATCTTCAGGCTATCTTTCAGCTGTTCGTCCCGCCCTCGTGAGCAGAGCTCAGCATGAAAGACAACCTCACTGGCGATAACGGTAAGTGGCTCTGCTCATGAGAAGGAGAGCTGACAGAGAGCTGCAAAGCATGATGTATGCCTTGTAATTATCTGAAACGAAGTTGAACACCTGCTACCGAGTGTTGTGGAAGCAATGTATATCGTACTCCCCGATCGTGGCGACGTCCAGACATAGAATGAAAAACCATAAATACGCAAGGAACTCGCGACGGACCATGGAACGCGCAATGATCATGACTAATGCGTCCAATTTACAAGCATAGGCGAAATCATAAAGTAGTAAAAAATGTAGCGCGTTAAATCTCCACGAACAACGTCTTATTAACCGTATTGACAGAAGCGGACGCCGAACATTGAGCTCACCCTGAGTGTTAGTGTTCCGCGTAATGTGCTTGTGTTGCTGCGCCGTAGATCACGGCCCAGTTAGACCGTTCGAGGTGTGGCTGAAACATAGCGATGTACTTCAAGGATATGATACAGCTTTCGTCAGACGGAGCATCTTGATGGGTGTATGGAAAAAGCCACGGTTGGTTTCTGTCGCTTTGTTCCTTATTTGAACAAGGCGCTATTGACCATTATTGGAGCCACAGTTCACGGTGGCTCACGCATGTTCGAAATCCGATCACTATCCACCGCGGATAGAATGAGCTCTCATCAAAGACCATACCTTCCCTCTCAAGGAATCCCATATCGACGGCAGCTATGAACCCCTTCCGTTCCGCGATACCTGTTGTTGAGTCGTATCTGTTCAACAAGAAGACACTCGGCGAGCTTCCTCCTGAAGCCATACAGTATCTCATCGATGTCGCGGCATCGTACGGTCTGATCTTGCCGCCCATCACTCACACCGCCATCGAGCAACGCAACCTCATTCGCAACCTTTCCCTCCAGCTCTCTGATATCGACAACAAGATCATGGACTGCAGGCGAAGTGCAGTAAATGTCCCGCCGCCACGATCCCAAAAGGATACCCTAATGCCCACCTTGACGTCAACGAAATCCTTGCACAGCACCGACAACTCTTCTTCCGACTCTTCACGGTCTGGCTCTGCCGACAACGAGGACTTTGCCGTTGATACGCATAGTAGTCCCATGCACGTATGGTGGCGGGAGGTGTTCAAGCTCGACGACCCGCACATGCTCGAAATTGTACGCCTCCTCTCGCAGCGTACAAAGATCCTACGCGACTTCATCATGCGCTTCGACGCGCTCGTGTGGAATGAGCTCCAGGGAAGCACGCTTGTTGCAAGTAACATGATAACGGAAGTTCGCACCAAATTACTGTGGACGGTCCTCCTGGCGGCACAGCTCTCGCTGCGAAGCGTGCAGGAATTCGTGGAGCGTGGAACGAAGCCATCAGAAGAGGCGAATTGGTTTACCGGCGCGATTTCGGCCCTGCAGACGTGCAGAGCGAAGTATTGTCTCCCTATTTGTGCCGATGTTCAGCCCTGGCCCACCTCGGTTACGCTCGCCGACTCGCTACATGACAACGCAACGAAAAGGAGAAGCAACCCGTCGACGCGTCTCGCTACTGCTCGTCGTCCTTCAGCCAGGCTTTATGTGCGCACTAAGGGCTAGTAGGTTGTACGGATTGAACCAGGGTAATATGTGGCTAGCTTTATGCTCATATGTTCTATGGGAAATGCCCAGCGATATCTGGGGCTTGTAATCACTCACCAGGTCACTACTTTTGGGCCACCGTACTGCATCATTAACTACAATTTGTTTCGCTTGCCTTTTGCTGATATGAAATGACTCATGCAACTTCGCGTGAACAACCTGAGAATCTCTATTTAGGAGCCAGGACGACTACAACTCGATCGCATCATATTCCCGTTCTCACAAGAGGCAGTGTACGTCGAACACTGACACAGCTGCGGTGCGCACTGCGTTCCTCAAGTCTGCCTCGTTTCTGCTGTCCCATTCTCGCTCTGTTTGCAGCAGTTTTCAGATATTAGCAGGATTACTTCGTCTCACCTTATTCTGGGCTGCAACTGCCATATGAACCTTATATAGCTCACAGAAGTCCATTACATTTCAATTCGTTCAACTGCTCTACGCGCTCCTATAGGCAGTAGTGTTGTTGAGGACTCGGCTCGGCCCGGCTTCAGAGAGGACTTCGGCCGGGCTTTATGCGGCTCGGCCGGGACAAGCGCGGCCGCAGACAACGCTGATCGCTATAACTTGCTCGCATCCTGCTTTGTATCCGTGGCATGATCCTTGGTAAATGTAGAACAGCACGGTGAGAATATTATGTTGTGGGCATCACAGCGCTTTCTTCAAACCTTGACTTGCGCCATTTCCTTCTGAGACGTGGAACCTAGCGCTTACATCACGCGGGGTGGATATTGTAGCGCGCCTTCTAACGAGCAACTTACTTACTCTAAGCTTCCATGAATGCACTCACTCCTGTAGACTTGTATAAGAAGTTTGACCGGATACAGAACATACCGGGGCCGGGGTGAGTGAAGCTTTACACCACTCGACGGTATCACACGAAGTCCTTCGCTCCTCTTTCTGCCTCGTTAGGCAATCCCGCATGTCTCCACGTCTGAATGTGCACAAAAGAAAGCGGCGCAACCCAAGGTTTGAAGAAAGCGTTGTAGGCTCACACCTTCATGTGAGTCGGGCTCGGCGCGAGCGACTGCTGCTGTTGAACCCATCTGTTTATAGGCATTCTTCGGAAGTTTGCACCGCGGCAGAATCAAATTAATCGAATGTTCTGTCTGTCGCCTCTTAGGCTGGGTTAAGTCGCTAATCGGACTCCACCTAATTTCCATTTTGCCTCAAACTAGGGGCCCACTGTGGTATATCGCCGAAGTGCGGGGAACTAGGTCCGTCCCTTTGGTTCGTTTGAACTCACATCTTGAGGGGGTGACAGACATGTACATGAGATCATGAACACTGATCACGTTCTCTTAGGTGTTTTACCTTAGCTAGAAGCTCATACATATACTCAGGACTACTGTGTCCTCGCCCAGGTGATCTTGTGCAATCTTACAGGTGCGATAAGAGACAGTACCTGATTCGGTCAACTATGAGCCTTCCGGTCATGCGCGAGATTGCATTCGATGTATGCAAGTATATAAGACATGCGAATCAGTTAACCGCTTTCAGGTCTCTTATCAGTGACCATACGTCTCATAATGACTTCGAAAGCCCCCAGGGTCTGGTTTAGTAGGACTGGTCGCTGCGCCATTCAGCATACATGTTGATGTTTCTTATAGTTATAGGGTCGTCCACTGGGTTCGGTCGCCTGATGACCCAATGCGTCCTCAGGAATGGAGACAAAGTGGCCGCGATGTTGAGGAATCCCGCAATGCTTGCGGATCTCGCAAAACAATTCGGTACCGACCAGCTGCTCGTCCTGAAGCTCGACGTCACCAACCACCAACAGATCCTCGACACCTTTGCCGAGGCGGGAAAGCACTTCGGCCGCATCGACGTCGTATTCAACAACGCCGGCTATGCCCTGTTGGCAGATGTCGAAGGTGCAACCGAGGAGGCCGCTCGCGCAGTGTTCGAGGTCAACTTTTGGGGAGCAGTGAATGTCAGCAAGGAGGCAGTTAGGTGGTTCCGGGAGCAGAATAAGCCGTCTGGCGGAAGACTGCTCCAGACCTCTTCCATGTTGGGATTCACCCCTGATGCTAATCTTCCATTCTACGTCGCATCAAAGTTCGGTGAGCAGCCTTGAAGATGGGTCTGTTCTCTCAGTAGCTTCTGACGAAACATATGTATTTCTAGCCCTGGAAGGGTTGAGTGAGTCATTTGCCTCGAGCCTTGATGGAACATCAAGGTACTGCATATTTATTCAACGCTTAGTGTCGACATCGCTGACGTGTAGCTGCTGACTGGTGGCGCAGATCAGTTTGATTGAGCCTAGAGAATTCCGCACAAATGCTCTGAGCAGCAACATGGATCGCAGCCAAGTGCATCCCGCTTATGCGCACCTACCCGTTGCCGCATCTCACAAGTACCTCGAGGGCAACCCTCTTGCTCGCGGGGACACTGCGAAAGCCGTGGAGGTAATTTATGCGGTTGCCGGACTGCCCGACCCTCCGCTTCGCTTCCCTCTCGGAAGGGGTTGCATTGAGTCGTTCAGGAATCAGATAACAAAGCTCAACGCAAATATAGATCAGTACGAATCGTGGTCGGATGGACTAGATGCGGAATAGACGTCTGTGACGACGAGCGTCTGATACAGAAAGGAATAAATATTGTCTACTTCGGCTTGCGGAGTCGTCGCTGCATGTGTAACTTCAAGGCTAGCTTACTTCAAGATGCCCGTTTTAGGAGACTCAACGAGATTTTCAAGCCTTGCCCAGTGATTAGTTGACTAACGGCCGTATTTGAAGTCTGAGCATGTCCAAGAATGCCTTCACGTTCCCAGCGCTGTCATATAACTACAGCGTACGTGTTCCGCAATTTGGATCTATAGCAAGGTTTGGTCAATCAATTAACTCACTCAGTGCGTAGTGTGCTGTAACCCGGCCCTTTAAGCTTCATTTTCAAATCTCAAACATACCGGCGCTAGAATAAACGTCATAGTTACAATGACACTTTCACAGGGCTGCTATACATCGACTTGTGGACCACACATTACGTCCAGGCGCCTAGGATGAGTCTAGCTCCGAGATGGCCATCTGGATATAGCTCGAGCAGAATTTTGGAACTCTTAAGTCCGACGACGACGACTCGTAGTGCCGCTTACGGGAACGTCTGATCCATCTTCACAGTCACATAAAAGAGGACATGCAGCTCTGCTCCGCGGAGCGATGCTCATGTAATTGACAGAATTTACACCAATATTATAAGAGCCATATCAGCCCTATCTTAGCTGCACCATCGTGTTCTGCGTCCAAGACCATCATCGCTCGGATTTAATCAGACATTGGACCGATCGCTGCAAGGTGTGTTTGAAACGATAGCTGCACATCCTGGGACATTCTGATCCACCTCTCGTCATGGCAGAGTAGGGGGCCTTTGGCAAATGGCCAGATTGCCGCGATATACCTGACATGCATTACTGTAAAAGTGTCTAGGTTAAACCCGCTCCTCAGATTGTTGGACAGATGAGGCTAAGTCCCATCCTACTCGTATCCCAAGCTATTGGTATGATAAAGAGGACATAGACACGCCGATTAGTGCTCTGAGAGGAAAATACTAGGCGCAGGGAATGTGGTGTTCAGTAACAGAGGCGGTGCATTGTTATATACACTCTCCCCTTGAGACGGAGGAGGCTGGAAGATGTTGAATGCGGTGGAAGAATTCCTGGAGTAGGCGCACACATCCGCATCTTGCGTGTCCGGCGAATCCTTAGCGGTGCCCAATCCAGTATAATCTCGTGCGTAGTGAGCCTTTCCATTTCTTTCTTTAATCAATCCACGAATCATCTACAGGACGTACCTCTCCCGCAAAAATACTCTGTGATTGGAGCACCCTTGCCCAATGCAAACCGACCCAGATTGTATGATCGGCGTATCAACAGCCATAACCATTTGGCATCGGAGTGGCACCACACCCGTAATTGCGTTCTTGTAGGAAGAACAAACGCGAAATCATCTCCACTTGCAATGGAAAGGCATGACTTTGGACCACTTTGTATCGATCTCTCGGCGGAGCTCGAGGAGGACTGTGATTACCTACCCCGTGTGATAGTCTTGCCCTGTAGCTCAGGTGTCCAACGATTCTTACGTGCTTTTGTCAAACATTGGCCACCATTTAGGCGGGCGAATCGTCGATGGTCCATGCTCGTAACGTGCTAATCATAACGGAGATATTAACCACGACGATGCGTATCCAGCTGAAGCCCACAACCATAAATGCCAATGAGCGTTCCCAGCATGCAGCAACAATATGTCTGCCCAAAACACAACCGAATATTCCACAAGCAAGGACAATTGGTTTCTGCGCTACGCGTTCCAACCAGATATCTATCACTTCCACGGCCTCGCCATCGATGACCTGCCACACGCTTGCAAGAGTCATATCTACCAGCATCCCGACATACGTTCTCGTCCAACCCGAGACACGCACGCGCCAACACGCGGAGCTCATCCTCACCCTTTGGGATGACCTCGAGGACCGCGACACTGTCATCCTCGTCATCCGCAGGGAGTTCCCAGCCATCATCCTCTAGTTCAGGGACGTCGACGAGCTGCACAACCAACACGCACTGCGGTTCCTCAAGGCCCGTCAGCGCAAAATCGACGACGTCCGGGATCACGTTATACAGCTTCTCACGTTGTGACGGAAGATCTTGAGGCATTTCGTGCAGCTGCTCGACGCGCCCTTGTGGGTAGAGCTCAGTGACAGAGACAATCCCACTGGGCCGAACACATGAGCATTGCCGCACATCACAAGCGATTCGGTCAAGCCTTCAAGCGTTGTGTGGGGCTCAACAGACTGGCAGGAGATATGTCGACAAACATCCTCACCGAACTTGGTTGCGCTGTAAAATGGGACCGCGAGATGTCTGCTATGGCCTAGCGCAGACGAGTCCTGCAAAATGTGTCCACCGGAGGGCTTGTTCTCCTTCCAAATTCACTGCACCCCAGAAAATCACTTCGAAGTTCGACCGTGCAAGTTCCACACGGCCTAAAACTCCAAAGCCAGCACTGTTGAAGACGACGTCAATGCGACCAAAATGTTTACCTACAGCAGCGAACACAACGAGGATCTCCTGAGGCTTTGTCGCGTCGAGCTTGATGACAAGAAGATGGTCGGGAGGGTATAGCGTGAACAGCTCTGAGAGTACCTCGGGTTTTCGCAGCGTCGCCGCGATGTAATCGCCGTGTCTGAGGACGCTTCGGTCATATGTTGACCTCAACCGAAGGACAATCCAGTGATTAGTTGAAAAGAGACACTGTCAGTAAATTCGACGTGAGTGACTTCCCAGCCATCTCGCCTCGAGCGTGACTCGGCCAATTAATCTTTTTGGTGTAAGGATCTTTAAATGGCCTGTTTGTTTAGAGTTTGCTTAGAATATCTTCGCTTGCGACAATTATATGGCAGCGTACTCTGGGGTCATGTGTCGCTTGGACAATTCATTCACACACTTCTCCGACTTGCCTGTTACCGCTTTACAGCAGCATGCCAGCACGCTGTCCGGCCACATCTCCCAGAATCGTGTAGCCGAGTCAAGATATTCCCCGTGCTATTTTGGGAGCAAGCTTCTGTTCTATAGGCGCTTCACCGTGCATAGAAGCCAAGTCTCTCATAAACACTCCAAACCAGAACAGGTAGCTGAGTTACCGTTACCACTGAAACAACACCGCAATGCCAAAAAACGCCACCTATTCCGTCTCTCACAAGGCACTCACCGTTGTAAAAGACCTACTCGACATCCAGCTCATCTGACCATGATCCGTACTGGTCCATGATTGTGGTGAGGTTCGCAATTTGCTTCCTGAACGACTCGTTGCAGTCCCTGCCGAGAGGGAAGCGAATGGGAGGATCAGGCAGGTCCGCGACCGCGTAAATCACTTCTACAGCCTTTTCGGTGTCACCACGGACGAGAGGGTTGCCTTCGAGATGCTTATGATATGTGGCGGCAGGTAGGTGCACATATGCGGGATGCACTTGGCTGCGATCCATGTTGCTGCTCAGAACGTCTGTGCGGAACCAGCCAGGCTCGATCAGACTGATCTACGACACCCAGCCAGCAGTCAAACGTCAGCAAGGTAGACACCAAGCATCGAATAGATATGCAGCACCTTGATGTTCCATGCAGGGTCAAGGCTCGAAGCAAACGACTCACTCAACCCTTCCAGAGCTAGACACGGATATCCCGTCAGAAATGACCGAAAAAACAAACTCATTCTCGTGACTGCTCACCGAATTTCGAGGCGACATAGAATGGAATACCGGCGTCAGGAGTGAATCCCAAAACAGAGGAGTTCTGCAGCAGTCTTCCGCCAGACGGCTTATTCTCCTCACGAAACCACCTGACGGCCTCCTTACTAACATTGACCGCACCCCAAAAATTGACCTCGAACACTGCGCGCGCGGCCTCGTCGGTTGCACCTTCGACATCTGCCAACAGGGCATAGCCGGCGTTGTTGAATACGACGTCGATGCGGCCGAAGTGCTTTCCCGCCTCGGCAAAGGTGTCGAGGATCCGTTGGTGGTTGGTGACGTCGAGCTTCAGGACGAGCAGCTGGTCGGTACCGAATTCTTCTGCGAGGTCCGCAAGCATGGCGGGATTCCTCAACGTTGCAGCCACTTTGTCTCCATTCCTGAGGACGCATTGGGTCATCAGGCGACCGAACCCAGTGGACGACCCTGTGACTATGAGAAAGTCAACACGTATTATGAATCAGACGTTGTGACAAGCCTTACTAAACCAGACTCTAGGAGCTTTGAAAGTCATCATGAGGGATGTATGGTGTCTGAGTCTGGCAAGAGGCCTGAAGCATGCATGAGTAACTTCGCGTGTCTTATATGCCTGTATGAACGTGACGTAATATCCTGCATGTCCGGAATCCCTGGTAGAGCTCAGAGCTAGCCGTTCCAGACACTACCTTCTGCCGTATCCGTAAAATAAATTTAGTCACTGATGCGCAGATGCAGTAACATTTTGTGACATTGATCATGTTACTCGATGCATGGAAACTTATGGTGTCTTGCTAAAAGGAAAATGAGGCATTCGAAGCAAGACCCAAAGGGACTACGAGATAGAGCGCAACGGGGGAATTGATTTCGTCGAAGATGCACCTAAGCGCAGAGGCAATACATTGACGTGAAACTCACAATAACCCAGCTCTATGTCTGAGGGTTTCCTCGATTAAGGGTTCAAGTGTTCGAGCATTCACATGTCAGTAGATTATCTGTCTTCCGCCGGTCCCATCATGCATACAATGCAAAGGTTTATTTCCGCCACACTCGCCAGGCTTATTACAGACCATGAATGGAACCTCGAGATCAATCAGATGTACACAGGCTTCGACTCACCTTTTGGTACGTATGTGCCTTCAACGGCAGCATTGATTGCACAAGTTTGTCTTCAATCAGCGCACTATCCCCAGTTGTCATCGACAAGCTTGGAAAGGTGTGATTTCAATTGAACTCAACGGACATCGAGATGATATCTAAAGCAGCGTTATGGTGAGTGTAATAATACGAACGTGTGAATACTAGAATGTACGCGCGACTACATGCGATCATTATATAATCAGATCAGATGCCTCGCCAAAAACCTCGAGCGTTCCTCGAACGTCAGGAACAAGTGGTGTGTATTTTCTTTCCGAATTCGGGTTTGGGAATGCTAAGGCACAGACGAATCCCGACACGTAAAACGTAACAAGTCTATGATTAGAGATGAGAGAGCAATAGAAGGCGATCAAGAGCATGCCCAATTTGTTTCTGACAAGGAGGCAAGCAGAACTCACTGGCATGTGCTTGGTTCCGCCTGACGGTGCATGGAAGCTTAGGGTGTCTTCTACGGCCTACCAAAGTACCGGTCATCCTATTTTCATAGATTCTTTCCCAATACTACGGCTAAGATCCGGGGCGCCAGTGATATGGAAGGCTGAAAAGGCCTTCGTTCTTACACTTGTGCGGCAAAAGTACCTCCGTGAGGTTTCGTAACCTTGTTGGCACTTCCTATACAAACACTGAGCCTGATCTTCGCTACTGAGCCCGACAACAGCGCTAGTAGCATTGAAGCAATGCTTGAGCCCGATGGGATGGTTCATTCTCTATATGTAGCGACATGCTGCGCATGCTACCCGGCGTGTGTCTTCACCGTAGTATGGACAATTTAGTAACTGAGACCCTGGCAGAGATCTTACGACAGAACATAATTCAATTGGTCATTATACAAGGCTTCGAATTCCCGCTAAGTATATGCTTTCACTTCTGATGACCATTCCTCATATTGTTTCACCATGGCACACAGCTTGTCGTCCTTGCTCCGTACGACCTCTGTACAGTCACCATTGACAGGGAATTACAAGGGGCGGCTCTGGAAGGTCAACGACCTTCCAGATAAACCCTGGATGCGTTTGTTAATTACCGAGAACAGCCAAGTTTCCATCAGTATACTAATGGCTTTCGGCAATATGAGGGTGAGTGTGACGGGATGTATTGTCGTTGGGGCATGCTAGGACCCATGAGATCGGTCCGAAATCATCCAGTACAACCTACACATAGTCATTCAATCCAGTTATATGTGATAAATGGAATGTTCGAAACATAACTGACTTTGATGTTCCAGAACCGGCTCTCTAGACAACTCACTCGATGCGTAGTGGGCCCTAAACGCAGCGGCTCTTCAGACACACCGGCGCTATAATGAACGTTATGGCGTATGTCAAACCGTTCATAGTACACTTTCGCAGACTGCCGTGGGGTTCTCGAATCTCAACCTCGGCTAGTGGACCACAACCTTACGTCCAGGTACCCAAGATGAGTCTAGCTCCGAGATGACCACCTGGATATAGCTCGTGCAGAACTTCGAGGCTCATAAATCCGACGTCCGATGACAGCGACGGCGACGACTGGTAGTGCCGCTACGTGGACTTCCGACCGTCTTCACAGGCACATAACAGATTGTGCAGCCCCACTCCCCAGAGCGATGCTCGCGTCAATGACAGCAGTTACTCCAATATCTGAAGACCCCTGTCGGCCATATCTTGGCTGCACCATTGAGAGGGGCGCAGGTGAGTTAACAAGGTTCCCCTGGCATAGCACCGAGGAACGTAGGTATATATAAATTGACGAGGATATGCACTTTGAATGTGTGACTGTTGTGGGAGGAATTGCCCGCAATAAACAGGCCGTCGGACTGCCTTTACCTGGTCATGTTGCCTTCGGTGTGGTTCAATTAGTCCAAGTTGTCAACGTGTGTCAAGTCGACTCGGCTGACAATTCCCTTCTTCGACTAGTCACTGGATCGTCCTCCAGCTTCGGTCTAGATATGATAGAACATGCCCTTAGACAAGGCGATTGTGTGGCAACATTGAGGAGACCCGAGGTGCTCTCAGAGCCGTCTCCGAAATCCCCTCCCGGCTAGCCTCCTTGTCCTCAGGCTTGACGCGACAAAGCTTCGGGAGACCCTTAATGCATTCTCTCCTGTAGGAACACATTTGGCCGCATCGATGTCGGCTTCAACAATGCTGGCTTCGGAGTTTAAGGCGGTGTGGAACGAACGAGCGATGAAGTTACTCGGTCGAGCTTCGAGCTGAGTTTCTGGGGTGCGGTCAATGTCACGAGGGAATCCATCCTTTCTTCTGAGAGGAGAGCAGGTTTTCCGGCGGACGTTCTGCAGAACCCGTCTTGACTAGCTCATGTGGGACATCTTGCAGTCCCATTCCATTCTAGAGCGCAACTTAATTCGGTAAGGATGTTTGTCGACATGTCCCCTACTAGATCGTCATATTCAGCCTGTTGATTTCTACACAGCACTGGAGGGTTTGATCGAATTGCTGGTGATGTCCTTTTTATTCTACCTAGAATATCAAGGTAGTTGCAGGTTCTTCGTAAATCACATAGGATCACTAAGTTTGCATGCAGCCAGATCACATTAGTGGACTGAGCCTGGTGAGCTCCGCAGGAGCAATGATGCGGATCTCAATACATTACGCATATACTCAATTCCCCGTTGCAGCCGTGCGCGATCAGTTGATCCCAACCCACTCGTGCGAGGAGACATCGCCAAGGCTACAGGTGTTGCGTCAATTCCAAATACTCCACTCTGGTTCTTGAGGCTGTGCAGGAGACGTGCTCAGGAGCTCAGAGACCATACGGAGCAATTGCGCACGACCCTCGGCCGAGATTAATCGTGCCAGTGGCCCGAGGGTGATCGATATCGAGTAGTGTTCAATGCGTGCTCGGTTAGCCTCCCACGCATTTCCTCGCCCAAGACGCTATTGAACAATAAGAAACGATGTTTTGGCTGTTTAGGAATTGGAGTTCTAATAGCATGAGTCTCAGTTGGATGATGTGTGCGCGAGGGCGTTATCGCCGAGAGGTAGAGGTAGAGGTAGATGTGGGACAGAGGTGAATAGAGCGTCTCATTGAATATTCAGAAAGTGTATCAAGAGCGATAGTGCATGTTTAGCCATGCATGTAGATTGAAACATGGAGGATAGCGAGAGAATCTATGACGCTGCACGCGCGTCGTCATGCCCGACGCGCCGCTGAGTCGGGGAGTATGACAAGATCATGTGACCGTGTTCCCCAAGTGGACTCTCACCGCCAGTCTCGGTCTGAGCCGAGCTTCAGCCTGCCTTTGACCTTGAGTCACCGAGTAACGGCTCATATCCTATGGTGCGATGACCGATATCTTGCATTGGTCGTGTTTTACGGACACATCGTTTCATGTCTGTAGAACCCTTTATCGGCTCTGAAAGATTCAAATCACTACAGTAGCTACTGTAACAATAGCACCTGTATCCGCTCTCAGTGCCTGCTTACTCCAAGAATGCCTCGAGCGCCTTCATCGACTTGGCAGCCTCCTCCGCCTCAAAAGGGTAAATACATATAGGCGTGCACTGCGTCCTGTGCCTCTCGGTACACTACTTTCGCGTCTCCCAAATCTCTCTTCATCTTCTGTGCCAGTGTGTGAGACATGTCCATAAATCTTTCGGCAGTACCGACGGCGACAAACGTCCGCGGAAAACCTTTGAAGGATGCATGGCAGTCTGGATGAAGCAACGCGGGGGAGATGTAGGGGTTGATTTCGCAAGAGGAGGGAGGGAGCCGGTGGGCGTAGGCGCGGCGCGCAGCGCCCATAAGCCCCGTACGTAGGTCAGGCATTGAGTCATACCAAAAATTGAGCGCGGATGATCCGGGTGTCTCGTGCGACGTGCCGAGGTCGCACCATGGCGATAGGAGCACCATGGAATAGGAAGGGGGTGTTGGCGGCAGCTTCATACGAGTTGAAAGCTCAGTGATGTTGTCAATGATGTACCGCGCCAGCGCAAGAGCAAGATTGCCGCCTGCGGAATCGCCAAGTAGTATAATGTTCTCTGGTGCGAAGTCAACTATATCAATGAGGTAGTGGTATCCAGCGATGCAGTCTATAAGCGCCGCGGGAAATGGATTTGCGTTCGACGCGGGATCTGTGAGTCGGTACTCGACCGCGAGTCCGCGTTTCGCAGGAGCGTGACGTAGAACCGTAGGGATACATGCCCCCGTCAAGTTGTGGGGATGTGCGGATAGCGCAATGAAGGCACTGCCGTGAAGATAGAGAACAACCTTCTCGCCTTCTTCCGGGGGCGCACCGATTGGCGTATCGCAGCCGTCTTTGTCATACCAATATCCTGGAATACTAATAGGGCGGACATCAGCTTGCTCTGCCCAGCGTGCAACGTCGCCGACGAGGAGCTGAGGAGTAGGCTCGAGCCAGACGCTCTTGACTCCTGAAGCATCGGGTATCGCGCGATGGTCAGGCTCTTTAGTGATTGGACCAGCTCTACATGATAAAGAGACTACAAGGCGGCGCAGATGTGTATCAAATGTTGCAAGCGCACCGTTCGACAACAGGTCCAAGAACGGACCAATAACGAACATAGCTCAGAGCGAACGTCTTATAAGCTGACCACGACAGCCTAGGACGCAACATTCGAGGTATGGATGAAATTGTCCATAATGGCGTGAGGATTAAGCAGGTATGTGCTGCCTGCAGAGCGATGTAAATGCTCCTCAGGGGCTCGCGCTGGGCTTCATAGACCATACTTGAGGTGCTCTGAAAGTCTGATGTCGCGGTGCATGGACAGGGGAGCCGTCTCACGCTTATAACACTTTTCTCGCGTAGTGACAGCCACCGCCTGAAATGTCATATCAGGAACCGTCACCACTATATATATGGAGGATGCTACTCATGTGGTGACAGAACATCAGGCTTAAGTTTGGGATGGAAGGCCATTTCACACCGCTCAATTAAGAAGGGATCCGAAAATGATCACGATGAAGGGAAGCAAGTTCAAGGAATGTTTTACTATCTCTTTACGCAACGTCGAATTCCCTTCGGGATGGATGCTTGTCATTGTTAGATTTCTGAAAGGGATAGAGACTGAAGACGATAGGATTGAACATGTTTGATCCGGCTTGTAGCCAGCAAACACGTAAGGAACAAAGTACAGAACGATCGGTGTAGTACCATACACGATCATGTGATCTACTACCGTAAGTATCGACTGTAATTTCCGAAACAATGCCTTCCGAATATGAAGGTTCGCTTGTAGGTCGTGCTGACAGTGTTTGTTATTGGGAGAACAACATCCTCAGTACAAAGGATGCTCACGATTATATCCCTTCCACGTTTCCATCGCAAGTTTCCCCATTGCACCAACTCAGTGTCAGAGTAAGTATGCTCGGCCAGTGCGCACCAGTCTTGCCTCAGAGGCAGATGAAAGCAAAGGAACAAATATGTTCCAGTATACAATGTACAGGAGAGTGCCTACATCCTCATCATGATGGCTAATTCAACTTGAAGATAATTCGATCTCTCGCGTGTTCACAGCAAGTCTACAAGGCTCGAAGAGACACTAGAATGGCTGCATATCCCACTCGGAGTTGGCGTAGAAATGACCTTTCTTTTCACGAGCGTTATGGATAGAATGGCTGAAATGGGATTGAGCACATGGATGGGTATAAGATAGATCGCACGTACGTTTCTTTCATATGATCCCGGATCATGGAGAGGCATGTATTCCGTGCTTGATCCAAGTAGTCACCACGAGGTGTACACAGAGAACAGCACCAAATGAATTGGTGCCTATTCCACAGTCTTTCTTGGCCGTTCTTCTTGGCCGCGGCAAGCTCAGGCTCCGTAGCCACACGCCCCTTATATTCGAGGGTTTTGTCGTAGGATCCCGACATCCAACGTGTCCATTCTTCCTCCACCTTTTCACGCGGTCAGTCTACACGCCGATGAGACAGAGGAAAGGGCACGTACCGCAGTTCGCAAGGTGATGACACAGTTCTCGCCATCTTGACCTGGATATGAGATATAGGCATCTAAGTTCCTTAAATCTTGTCTGGTCGCGCAGTCTGGGTCTTGGCCGCATAGTCGTATGATTGTACGGATCCGCTCGTGGAAGCGTACGCCAGGGCTACTAACCAGCTCACCGTTCCAAGGTCGGCTATTGACGCCGACCTCCCACGCCGCGATCGCGTAGACACAGTACTGGTTGTAAGGGTGCCCACGATAAGTCGGCGCACTAACGCGCAGACACTTGTGACCGAGGATCTCCGGGTAAGGCAATAACTTGAGACATCTGGAACAGGCAAAATGTGTAGCGGCCAAAGTCAGAACATCTGCACCGTCGACACACTCGACCCAGCGTAACGCGCGTCTCCTCAGCTCTTCGCGGGCCTCTGCTTGCCAGCGCTCCACAAGGTTCGGGGATAGTGCACGGAGTTTCTCTTCATTCTCAGATCCTAGTGTGGGGTCGTTAGATGAATGAATGATTTCTCGTACCTCCGGCATCTCGATCATATCGCAGATGCGGGGCTTGTACTCTGTCTCTACTGTCATTGGAGGGTTGGCGTATACTTCAGATAACACAGTGCACAACGCATCCAGCCGCTTTCGCAGAATTTCCGTGTGTCGCACGCGGCGTCGCTCATCTCGAATGTCTTCGAGTATTGTGACAGCGCCTCCGCCGATATTGTGCCAAACTGGGGGTTCAAGGCACTCAGTGTAATACATATAAACGGTGAGAGGACATACTACGATCAGTAAGCTTTTGTGCTGCTCGCAAGGGGTCATATTGTGACAACGGCCTATAGAGCGGTGCAAGGCGATCGAGTTCTTCGCCCCAACCTAATTGACGCAATCTATCAAGCGCACTAGTAGTGCGTCAGGGTTGTTGATCCGCTTTATATTATGAGCCAGGCACATACGACTGGAATCGGTCCCTTTTGAGCTGATTCAGCTCCTCCGCTCTGGAAGCAACTCTATCCTTTTCCCATTGACGACATAGAATGGCGTGCTGTGAATAGGTCAGCGCATGTCAATGGAAAGATATAACCTCATACTTTTTGTATTTCCTCCGCCTGCGATCTCCGTGTGTTGATGAGCTCAAGCTGCGCATCGGGCTTTCCTTTCAGTGATTTCCAGCTCTTGACAAATTGATCGACATCATCCTCCAGACCCCAATCTCTGTCATGCTGCACCGCCGGCTGAATGAGCCACGCGGACTCATGGATGTGCCCATGGACTCACATTCAAGAACCGCCACCAATAACGTGAGCCAGTCAGCGATCGAGGCAACCCTCTCACTTGTAAAATGCTCAGTAAACACAGTCTGAAGTCACGTTCAGAGTCGATCCAGTACAGCAGTAACGGAACGAACGACTTACGCCTTCTTCCTGCATGGAGTGCAATAGCGTTTCGAAAGTCCCCACAATATCTCCTTTCCTGTGTGCTTCATGCAAAGCTATATGTATCGGCATCAGCAAGCTGTATAGACAATATGGAGGATTTGACGATAGCATACGTGGCAATGGGTTGTGAATATGAGATTGGCATATGCAGGTTCGCTTAAGTGACTTGGACAATCGGGAAGTCCGTCAATATTCCTGCGAGAGGCCCGCCAGAGAAATGCAGAAGACCGGCTCATGAGAAATGTTCTGAAGGCCTTGCTTGTTCTAGAGAGGTGTAATATGTCACGAGGCTGGAGATGGCTGAGAACCTGTGCACAAAGGGAGACATAAGGCTAGATTTCAAAAGCCATGAAGCAAAACAGGTCGAAATGATACCTCTTGTACGATATCTAATGGCATGTTTGGCAGGTCTACTAGAAAGCCACGGCGCCGCCGAGGTCCTCGTCTGGAAACTGTCACCTCTTTGGCATCTGATGCCTTGCTATTCTTCTTGGCCTTTTTTCTTGATCCCATTGCCGCGAGAATACACTTGAGGATTCTCAGAAAGTGGTGTGGTCGTGAGCAGAAAGCGGGTAAGCGAGGAAAGGCCGTGGCCACACCAAGCACGTTTGCAATCACGGTCATGTGACCGTGTCGTTGGAGCGCAGTCATGGCATGCACGTCCGATTTGCATCCCAAAGCGATGTTATATCGTAGTGGCTGATGCGGCGCCCTGGAGCATGCACCCATCAACACCTATTGGTAACGTCATCTTCTCGTTGATACAACCCAAGTTTAACACTCACTGAGGATGTTTTGTTCGAAGCATACACGTAGCTTCGTGCCTAAACGATGACCTAGTTCAACGTATGCGTACCGCAAGCGACCAGCGTCTTCGTGAGGTAAGGGGAACCAGCCATGATCACTTACCGTCGCCTCACCCCTTGTTTGAACAAAGTGCCACACGCCACACGCCACCACAGCAGCCAGCCGCAGTGCATGAGTGGTTCATACGCTTCGAGCCACCCGCGCCTCATGGGGGCTGCGGAGCACCCAACGAATGATGAGTATAAAATGAGCTCTAGTCAACAAGAGTGGCTCCAACAACACACTCGCAACATAATCCACGTCGACTACAGCAATGGAGCCCTCCCGGCAACCAAGTTCACAGGGCTACCTTGATCCTCTCACACAGACCAGGATCAACGAGCTACCTCGGCATGTAATCGATAGCTCCGTCGCCACCGGTAAGCGTGGCCACACAGAACACGCACTCGCACTGACATTCACAACGACCACAGGGGTGGAGCCATTCCAGGAAGCAAAGTCGCCGCGCTACCCGTACCCTTTCAGCGGAAAGAAGACCGACGAGCTACCTCAACAAGCCATCGATCACCTTGTCCTTGTCACTCGCTCGTACGGGATGCTCGTGCCGCTCGCCTCGTACGCCGCCGCCGCCGAGCAGCACGCCCTCACCTACAAACTCTTCGAAGAGCTTAAAGTCATCGACAACATCATTGTGGCCAGCAGGCACGACGCCACCAACGTTCCGCCGAAGACCGACAGCCGAACGCGCACGAACACCTGGTGGCCTAGGGCGCTCCAGCGCGACGACCCATACATTCGTCAGATCGTGGAACGCCTCCTCCCTGAGCGCGTGAGGATCGTAAACAAATTCGTCGTATTATTCGACGCGCTCGTGTGGATTGAGCTGAAAGACAGCACACTCCCCACGAGCGCCACAGCCACCCTGCGTGATACTTTGCTGTACCCTGTCCTCGACTACGCCGACGCCGCACTGGCTGATGTGCAAAGGTTTGTCGAGCGCGAGTGGAAGCCACGGCGGAGGATCTACAGTGATATTTGGGGCTACAGGGCAGTCACGGCAATTGGGAAGGCGAGACAGAGGTACTTTGCTACCTGGGCTCAACGTAGTAGCTGGCCCACCACGTCGGGCCCATCAGACTGGGGGACGCCAGCTGCGCTACCATAGCTTGCCATGAACGGTCAGGTCAGGTTATATAGCCTCACCTTGAGTCACCTTGAGTCGTAATTTATGTCGGAACTCCCCAATTGTACTCATGCATTGACTGGAGAGTCTACGAAAACATTAGACAACGTTCACATAAATGCCAGAGCATCGGCATCCTTGACATACCACATCATACACCGAAGGAACCCTCCCGTCCTAATCCGAATACATCAGCATCCCCGCACCACGAAAACACGCTTACCCTGACTCACTGCATGCCGCCTGGGCCCGAGGCAGACCACGCTCATCGCCACCAGAAGCGAGGAACCGACCACACGAGGCTACGCAGCCGCATCGCTGGCCCTGGAAGAAGCCCGTCTGTGCGAACATCTGCAAGCGGCCCTGAGCGCAGACAATGGGCACCACACAGGCGCGCGCGGCCAAAGGGGGCGAACAATGGGTGGCTGCGGCACAACGCGATCACGTGCCTGACGCCAACGAAGGACACGCGAGAGTCTCCACGCGCTGCCGCACACCCTGGCCGAGCATCGACGCTAAGTATACCTGAGAGCCCGGGCCTACGACCGATGCAGCGATGCGATGGTGATTAACAGAAGCACTGGTCATTCCATTCGTATCGTATCGTAGGATACAGCGTGCGCCCGCAGGCGCTCTTCTACTAGTACACTTCTTCCGGGACGTGACGCTATGCGATGATTATACGGGATGCCAGGATAACGCGATGAGCATAATGATAACACGAGGGGAGGCATAGGGAGGCGCGTGACACCAGATGCGTGGGGCAAGTGCAGAGCGATGCGAGGAAGGGGACAGGGACAGGGAAAGAGAAACAGGAGCAAAAATACGAGAAAAGTACAAAATATAGAACAGGCAGAGATCAAGCAGGGGATACGGTCTTTGAATATACGAACACGAAACGATCCAAGGGTGAAAAACGCGCCCGAAACAACGACACAAAGGGGGAACCAAACCGGAGCAAAAAGAAACTCGAGTACTGTAGATGTAGATGTGGCAGAGCGGGAAGGACATGCAGGGGGCAGAGCGCGACGACGGAAACGAGCAAACAACGACTAACGGGGCACCGTACACACAGCGGCAGCAGCGCGACACAGTCCGAAATGCAAAATGCAATCTGCAGCCCGTCGTCAGCACCCGCCGTCCACCGCGCGCGCACACCACATCCAGAATCAGCACTCACAATGTATCCAAACGAGCATGCATGCACCAGTCCGCGGCACCCATGGCCTTTTCCTTTCCTTCCCGGCCTCCGCACACGCGTGCGCGCTCACGCCGCCCACACATACGGTTCCGCCCGCTCCACTGGCGACTCCGCCATCCCGCCATACTCTTGTGCGGGCTTCCAGCTCCCCGCCGGACGGCGCATCGCCGAATTCGCCGCCCCCGACGGGGGCACGTACGCTCCCGCGCCCGGCGCGCTCACCACCACCTGCGGCGCCTCCACGTTCAGGAACTGCATGAACGCGTCCTGCGTCACGCTCCGCGGCCGCTCCTGCTCCATTTCCATTTCCAGCTCCCGCCCCAGCGAGAAACCAAGCCCCGCGCCGCCGCCACCGCTGGCCGCGCTCGACGGGAACAGGCTCCCGCCCCCCGGCAGCTGCGAAAAGTCGAAATGCGATAGCAGCTCCGAGAACTGCTCCGCCTGCCGCTGCACATCGCCGCCGGGCGCGTGCGCGTCCTGCCCCATCCCCATCCCCATCTCCATGCCCAGCCGCACGTCCCCCATGCCCGCCATCCCCGCGTCAAACGCCGTCAGCTGCCCGAACTGCACGTCAAAGTCGCCGGGGGGGTCCGCCAGGAACGCGCCCGCGTCGAACGCGTCCATGCGCCAGATGCTCGCGCCCTCCGCCAGCAGCGCGAGCGCGTCGCCGCCCGCGTTCGCGTTCGCGTCGGCCGTGTGCATGTTCGCGTCGCCGGCGAACGGGGGCGCGTCGTCGCCGAACGAAGGGATGTCCAGCGTCAGCCAGTCCTGCGTGTGCCCCACCATCAGCCACGACACGGTCGATCAGGAACTTGACCACTCACCAGCGCGTCGATCTCTGCCTGCGGCTGCCCGTCGAGTGTCCAGTTGGACGGTCCCGGCTGCGACGACGACGCGTCCGTGGCCTGCGGAATAGACCAGCTATTCTGCCCCGGCACCTGCAGAAACTGCGCCGCCGGTGGCTGCACCGCGGGTCCCGCGGTCGAACCCGACGCGACAGGCTCCGGCGGCGGGGGCATCGCGTACGACACCTGCGCTGCCGGGGCCGGTGTGGGCGCACTCGAGGGCGGCCTCGCGTGCTCCGGCGCGAGCTCAGACAGCGACGAGCCCGGCGTTGAGCACGGGGTCGACGCGGCCGACATCGGCGGCGAAGGGAACCCAGGCAGCTCCGCGTCGTGGTAGTACGGCATGTGCACCATCGGCACGTACTGGGGCGCGTACGCCGACATCTGCGCCTTTGCCCGCTTGGCCTCCTCGCGCGCACGCTCCTTCTCCAGCCGCTTCTCCTCGCGGCGGCGCGCTTTCTCCTCCTTCTTCATCGGCTGGAACTTGTATCCGGGGTACTGCTCTGCGTGCTCCGCCTTCTTGACGTCCGCCAGCCGCTCGTACTCGCCGCGCACCCCGGGGTCCTCTGCCTTCCACATCGCCGCGACCTCCTTCGAGACGCTCGACTGCGGCTTCTTGGGGTGGCCGTGCTGCAGCTGCGACTGCATCATCTGCTTGAGCTTGTCGGAGCGGTAGAGGATCCAGGCATTGGGGGGCCGCGGGGGGTTCATGGGGTTTGCGCGCGATGCGGCGCGGTCGGGGGAACGGCGGGATGCGCCGGCCATGGCGGAGGGGGAGGGGGAGTGTGGCGTGGGGGTGTGGGGTTGTATGTAGTGTTAGGCGGATATAGACGTTGATAGGGCGCGACTTGGGGGCTGGGGCGGCGACGCGGGCGAGGGACAGGCGGGCGAGGAGGACATGGCTCAGCCGTGC